CCCGCGATCCTCCAAGAGTTCGCGTAGCTGTCGATCACGCACGGCTGCCGCATCACTTTTCCCATGAAATCCGCTTGGTATGCCGAACAAAGTGGCTGCACTAGGCGTGGAACGCGCAAGTGCTGGGCTGCTAATACCTGGCACGTAGTGCTCGGGCATTGCATCCGCCACGATTGGCATTGAACTGCGGCCAGTGAAGAAGTTTCCACCGGTGAATGGAATTCCATCCATCACAAGGTTCTTGTCCTTGTCCGATTCCGAGAATGCGAACTTCTCTTTGGCGACTGGACTAACTTGACTTGGGGACCGTATTTCAGGGGATCGTACCTCACCTCCTACGGAAAATGCAGGCACTACTTCCTTTCCTACGTGCTCCCAGCCAGACTCAGTAGTCCTCGAAGACATGGGCATGCTTGAAGGCCGTGTCGCTCCTCCATAGTTGGAGTTTCCGCGCTGCCTCCAATTCGCTGCGTGTCCTCGCTTGAAGATCTTCTTGTGCTTTGAGCGTTTTCCTGAGTTCACTCAGCTCGTCGTGCAAGGTAGGCAATGCTCGCCTTGCATGATCTTCATTCTGATGAAGTCGGTCCTCTGCATCTTGCATCCTCCTCACAGCCATTTTGCGGTACTCTTCCTCTTCACCAAGACGTTCGCGAAGCCGAAGTCGTTCTTGATCAATGGCTGCGCTGTTTCCAGCTAGCCCTTGAATCTCGTTCACGGCCCGCAACTCCTGGTTCTTGACCAAGTGGAATCGTTCCTGCATTGCTTGTAAGGCTTGTTCCGAACTTGCTGTGTTCGACCGGAGGAACAAGTTCTCTCTGGCATGTTCATGAAGTTCATGAGTCAGACGCTCATACTCACGTGCCATAAGCTCACCATCGCCTTGCGCTCTTGCCTCCAACTGCACAAAGTTAGTGGCTGCCTCCGTGCGGAACACGTGTAGCTGTTGAGCTAACTCCTCGGCAACGGCATGTGCTTGACGTTGTTGAGCAGAGTTCTGTTCATCCATGCGAAACAAAGCTGTTTCATAGTCTCGCTTCATCTCCTGATTGACATTGTTGATGTGCCTCATGGCTAAGCATGCATGGTCACGTTGTCGTTCCAATTCTTCAATGCGAATTCCAGATCCTTCATCTTCTTGTTGCATCTCCTTGATCTTGTCCATCAGGGTCTGAACAACTCCTTCGTATTCTTGCATCTGACTGCGATAGTACATCTGCTGCGCAAGGTTAGATGCTTCGAGCTGTTGCGAAATCGTCAGTTCCTGATAGGCATTCGGACCATCGGCTATGGCTGGCGTGGTCACCGATGACGCATCACCACGTGCTGGGATAGTGTCCAGAGTCATATCCAGATCGTCAGCATCACGTGGTTGATTGGTAACCATCCGATTCCAAGTCATGGATTTGTCACGCCCACGAGTAGCCGAAGTCCTCGATCGTGCTGAAGAGCTTCTCGAAGATGATGGTCTTGACTTCTTTTCCAAGGTCTTCACTCCTTTGTCCTTGGCCCTGGACGTAGTCCGAGGTGCCTGAAAACCAGACGCTTCGGCTCGTCGTTCGGGAGCCTTGCCCGTCCTCGAACCTGTGGATGTCGGACGCGAAGGCGTAGATGCTCTTGGTAGACTCTTTGCTTTCACCTTGGGAACTGCCTTTGCAATGGCAAGCGCAGAAGATTGACCTTTGTCATCTTCCGTGGAGCTATCAACGGATTGCACCACTGTGTCATCAGCTGTTGACTCACCAACGGCTGGCGCTGCCACATCGGCACCGAAAGTCATTGTCGTATCTTGGCTTGATCCCGAGTTCATTGTGGTCGTAGTAGATCAAGTAGTCGTTGCTGTAGAAAGGCAGAGCCGCGTACGGCTGATAACCTGCGTGGGGGATTGATCTCGACTAGGTTGCTGCTCTCCCCACCAGAGCTGTAATGAATGTAGGTGTGGCTGGCTTGCACTCTCCACAGACTGGACCCTGTCTCTCTCTCACTTCCACACGTGCAATCCTATGCAGGCAGAACCGGCGGCCGTTCCTTTTGCACTCGCTGCCGGCGGCGGTTCGTCTGTGCAACGGGATAGCTCTGATTGCTCAGGATAGAAGACACACATATGTGCCCGCGCTCCGCGTTCTCGACCCCCCCCCCCCCCAATGGTATCCCCCCCCCCCCCGACCCGGGCGACCACACAACAAGAACAAGAACAAGAACAAGAAGAAGAACAGCAGCAACAACAAAGCAGCAGCAACCACGCGGAGGAACCACAGGAACCACAGGGGGGGAGGGGGGAGACAGGAACCAGAAGAACCACAAAAGGGAGGGGGAAAACCAAGAGGAACCACAGGGGGGGGGGGAACCACAGGAACCACAGGGGGGGGGAGGGGGATTACCATGGGGGGGGGAGGGGGGGGGGGTGCGCGGATGCTGGCACATATAGCACTTAGCTATGGGCATTGACTTGAGCCAAACGTTGCGTGGGCGGTCACATAGAAAGGTAAAGATGAGGGACGCGTAGCGTGCCCCCTTAGAGTCGAGGGACGCGTAGCGTGCCCCCTTCTCTTGCACTTTACACGGTCTTGCTCACAGCTCTTATAGTGACACCTTAGAACTTGACAAGGCATCGCAGTCCGTTCGCATAAAGACACACGCGCACACACACAAACACACACCTGTCGTTTTCTATATGATTAGTATGCCTCGCGAAGGAGCCTCAGACTCTGCGATCCCTTCTGGTACTTTTAGGTTCATGGGTTGGTATACGAGGAGTTTAACCCAAAGCAAGAATCACAACCCAAATTAGGGGACTTATAATCCCACTTATAACTACCCCTGAACCTCCAAGTCCTTGTGTTCGGGCACCACCCCAAACTCCAAGCTGTACCCTCAAGGGTGGACTCCCACGTACACAGCAGACCGCAAAGCCCTAAACTTCCGGCCGGTGTTAAACTTTCATCCCCTGCACCCTGAATTCCATCTTCGGCTGCTGTAAAGGTCTTAATGCTTAGAACGGGGCTTTGGGCTCCTTTATAGTATTATGATCACAAAAGGAACTGTAAGGAAGAGTATCGATAAGTGATCAGGCTTCCATATTACATGCAATGCTGACGCCGTAACGGTTTAGGGTTTAGGGTTTAGGGCCTGAGGATTCGGCTTTCAGGGACCCCCAGGATGCTGGGTGTAAGGGGTGCACACCGGTAGCTACTGTTACTTGGAGGTCCTTGGGTCGTTCTAAACAGGGCTATAAGTCCCCCTAAAAGGAGTTATAAGTATAGCTACCGTACTTAGAACCCCACTTCTAACTACCCATCAAACTCCAAGTATCCACTGGACACCAGGAGTGCCAGACAGTAGGGGAGTACGGGGCCGTTGACATCGAACCCTAAGAGTAGAAAAATCTGAAAGAAGAGGCTAATATAGGGGACTTACTGATTTGGTTTTGGGGACCGTTATACTGTAATCAGACTAGGAAACCCCCACAATGTTACAGGTTGAAGGCCCCTATATCATATAGCCTATATCAGCACTTGCACAAGCCTCCTTTGAAGCGACCCAAACCCAACCTAATCTGGTTGTGCAGGTCCGAAAAAACTCTGAAACAAGCTGTAGCACAAGTCCCGATACTACTCCACCCAACCCAACCCCTGAACCTCGGATACCCCAAACCCCAAACCCCCCCAAAACATCCCAAAACCCTAAACCCCCAGACAACATCGCCAAACCCTAAAACCGACTCTGGGCAGACCGGCTGTGGATTGCGTGCGAAAGCGGGCCGACCATCGAATGATAGGCGCTGAGGTGGCCAAGACCAGCCTTTGCAAGGGTTCCTTTTCACGGAACCGGTTTAGGGTTTAGGATTCAGGGTTTAGCGTTTCGGGTTAGGATTTGGGATTTAAGGCTTTCAGGATTGAGAGTTTAGGATTTAGGGTTTCGGGTTTAGGGTTTGTGGTTTAGGGTTTAGGAGCGGGTTCAGGCTTCGTGGATTTGCGGTCTTGGCCTCCGGGTTTAGGGCTTAGGGTTTTGAGCAGTCCTAAGACTGTCTTTGCTTTATAGGGCTCAAGATAAGGGAGCTTAAACTTCTCCGCCCACTGTTTTTGTTTTCGTGCTCAAGATAAGGGAGCTTCAACTTCTCCGCCCTTGGCGGCCTTGGGCCTGTTTGTAGGTTGCTGACCTTGCCGTGCATGGGCGAACTGAGCCTTCATTCGGTTGATGATATGAACCCTGCATTAACCATAATAAGGAATATGCCATAAGTGTACCTTTAAGGGGTTCCTTTAAAGGGATCTATAGGGTTTTTTTTTTTTAATGCAGTGCCCTTTTCCTTGCGTCCAAGGGTCGGCCTCGAGACGAGGCTTGCGCAAATATCCCACGTCTGTTGACGTAGAGCAAAACATTAGCCGCTCAACATGTACTCAAAACACCCCTCACTCACTACAGAGCTGTTGGGTCCGGACTTATGTCCACGGACGACGCATCACTACTGACAACCTCGCCCCCAGACTGTGCTTCGGCAGACACAGGGTGCATTTCATCTGTTATGGCAGACGAAACTGGCATGGTGGACCTTGCGCCCTCACTATCACCCATGGGAACCGGACCATCATTGGGGACATCACCTTGAACTGGCAAAGGAGGTACTGGGAGATCAGAAGAACGACCCGACTCGGCAGGAAGAGGACCAGTTGCATCCTCCCCCATAGGACCATCACGACTTTCATCACAAGAAGTGGGCACAGAAAGATCATCCCTACTATCGTGATGTTCTCCAGGTCGAACTTGAGCAGGAGGTACTGGTACTGCAGAACTTTGATGGAGTTCAGCTGGTAGAGGTCGAACTTGTGCAGGAGGTACAGGTACTGCAGAGCGAGGATGGAGTTCCGCTGGTAGATGTCCAGCAGTTTCCACAGCAGAAGAATCATCACGAACATCCCCCAACAGTTGGTTATCGCCACGCCCAACATGAGGATGATGTCCAGCAGTGTTGGTTGTACTAGCTTCGGACCAAGCCCCACCACTCACACTCCCAGCAGTTTCTCCAACTCCACCACCCTCCACAACACCAGGAGGAAGAAGACCAGGAGGATCTCGTAGAGCAGGACGAAGATCACGAACCCCGGGTTCTCGACCAGCTGCATCATCCCCAACACCATGTCTCGCCCGAGTGGAACGAGATCGGGAACGACTGCCACGAGGATGTACGTTGCGTCCAGAACGTGTGTTTCGTCCCAAGCGTCGTACCTCACCACCAACCAGGCCAGCATCGTTCACATCCCCTGCATGACGTACATCACGAGGCAGAGTTTGCGACCCAGAGGAACCTGTGCTACGTGTACGTCGTACAAGTTCCCGAGCAACCTCATCCTCAAGACCGCGTAGAAGAAGGTGTCGATATTCCGCCATATACGCCACCAGACGTGTTCGTAGAGGTCCGTGCACTGGTTCTCGCGTAGCAGGAAAGTAGGGTAACGCCCCAAGGTTTGTGGAACGTCGATGGAGCAGATCACGTACTACCTGCATCGCCTGCAGTGCCTCATCCCACGACTCCACCAACATGCGAACGCCCCAGCGATACTCAGGTCCTTCTCCCCTTTGTTGTATATGACCGAGGGCGATCATTAGCATCCGAAATTGGCGACGAACTTCATCTGCAACACCGCGTTCATGTAGCCTCTGTTCCTCTTCCACCGTCAGCTGCATCATGCCATTCACATCCCCATCACCGTCATGATCGCCACCATCGTCTCCATCGCCAGGAAGATCCCCGCCAGGACCAGCAGCTCCATCTCCAGTCCCATTACTCGAAGCGCTAGGAATTTGAACATGGATATTCTCCCCAGCGTTCGCGCGGCGTGTAGCAGCCCCCCGAGCCTGAGCTCGTTGGATGATCTCACGTGCCAACGTCCTTGCCCTCGTCATTGCCCACGCCCATGGTCACCTCGTACGAAAGGAGGTTCAGGAAGTTGGCGTCCATCGTCATCATCGGGACCGTGAGGCATCCATTGACCGCGGAGACCTTCTTGTATGAGCGACAGGTGAAAGTCACTCATCTGTCTCTGGAAGCCTGCAAAGCCCACCACCAAACGTCCCCGAACACCAGCGTCCGTGGGGCGCACTACTTCGGTGTCTCGCAAGCGCCCCCAGAGTGTCTCCTGAGCAAGTTCTATATGGTGGCATTCCCGACAACCAGACTGTCTCCCCAGGAGTCCATGGCCCAAGCCACAGCGCCAGCACCATGTTCTCCCCGAGCCCATTCGAGGAACTCACAGAATTCCCTCATATCCGCGATGATGGAGAGCGGCCATCCAGCATTATGAAGTGCTTGTTCTTCCTGCAAAGTGAGAGCAAGGCTGGGTTGAGCAGGAGTTGCAGCCGCCATGTTTGCATCATCATCTCCAGTAGCACCAGTGTTTGTACGCCCAGGTTGTTGCATGAGGCTGACTCCGTCAGGTGTTACCGACCCATCAGCAGCTTTGTCCCAGTCTTCCCAGTCTTCCCATTGCTTACGTGTCCACCGAGGAGCTGACGACCCCATAGCACTGTCTATGGCCTCTTGAACAGGAACAGGTGCATCAACCACGCCCCCAGAAGAATCGGCCCCAAGGTTGCCAGACGCCTCCCATTCCCAGCTCGAGGCCGTGCTCAAGGAACATGATGTATGATCCTCACTGATTTCGCCATTCTTTGAAACATCCCCAGGTTCAACTCCAGCACGAGGTGGTTGTACAGCATGATCTTCTGCAGCAGGTACTCCAGGTACGGCTCCATCTTGGGGTGGAAGTTGGACTCGACCTTCAGCAGCAGCTTCAGCACGAAGTTGTCGTTCTGCACGGTTCTCGGCATCACGTACAACTTCCATTATGTTCTCGGCATTCGTCCCACTGCCACCATGTAGTCGACTGGCAACTTCATCCATGTGACGTCGCCAGGCACGCACAAAGGTACCATCCCGCCATTGACGGAGTCGTTCTTGCCTACGCCCCTGACGCTGTTGGCCTTGTCCACCAGTGTGAAATCGCTGTTCTTCATCTGTGCGAATACGGTTAACAAACGTCCCATGACGAAAGAAACCTTGTGGGCGATTTCGAGGAACTTCACGATCTGTAGAACTAGTAGCTGGTCCTTGAGTTGACGAAGCAGACTGCCCCGTACCACTGCCAGGATAGTCAGACCACTCATCCCATGTCCAGCCACCACGATCCGTCCATGCACCCCACTCTTCCCAGCCACCATAGTCTTGATCTCCACGATCGTCACCATGAGATTGTCGATACCAGCCGTGATCTTGAGCAGGATCGCCCCAAGGCCTTCGATCTCGCCATTGTTGGGAGCTCTCCTGCCACGACCGTCCATTTGACGACGGCGACTCCCAGCGATTTCGCCAATGCGAAGGTTGAGATACATCAGAATCGTCATGTAGAGGATGTCCAGTCCAATGTTGATCTTGCGGCGGATCGTCATGAAGAGGATGACCATCCCAGTGTGGAACTTGCGGAGGATCGTCATGTACAGGATGACCATGCCAGTGCTGTTCTTGTGGAGGATCGTCATGTAGTGGATGTCCACCCCATTGTTGCCCTTGTAGTTCTTGTGTAGCTTCGTCATCCTCATTGTAGCTCCCAGGGTGAGAAACAGGTTGGTGTTGTCCATCCCATCCAGACCAGGAGGACGTCGAAGGAGTTGCCGTAGGTCTCTGCCAGTTGTTGCTATTGCTGTTCCAAGCAGTGCGAGAGCCAGCAGGAACCGCCCCACCACGCCGCGAGTAGAGGAAGAAGAGGAGGGTCGCCCCGAAGAAGCAGACACGTCCGCGGCAGCAGGACCGCAGAGCCATGTTGAGCGAATTGATGTGCCAGAAGCACGGAAGGTAGAGTCACCACACCACTATCACAGTGAAGTAATTCTGAAACATCATTTGGAACATCACATAAATGTCGTGGAACAATTGCACATGTCTTTGCATCCCAAGAGCCCAGTCAGCAGAAGCACACAGCCAGGCCACAGAACTGCACAGGCACACTCAGTCGGTAGAAGACTTCATTAGCGCCAGGACACAGTTCATTCACACAGGCAAAGCTGACGCCCCCTTGACCACGGAACATCCACATCAGAAAGCCACTTTCGAAGTAGCTGCTTCCAAGCATCCCTATTACTGCATGCAAGGTACCACTTTTCCCCAAGACTTGTTGCCAGGGATCGTTCAAGGTTTGCCGCACGAAACCGCATTGGATGTCGCGCCCCAACGGTGAGACCCTTTTCACGATTCCACCACTCCAAGCACCGCCAGAGTGTTATTCTGCCTGCGATGCCACGAACATCATCGCCTTCTAGTTGTCGCATCCAGTGTCCAGCTAACTGGTATTGTAGGCGCAGGATTTTACTGCTCCATCTTTCCGCCCCACTTTGTGCAATCCACATGCGGACCTGCCTCAGGGAACGGCTGTTGTAGTCGACCCAGTTCTCACTCGTCCCACGTCGTATTCCAAATGCGAGTCTCAGCACACGAGCCTGGGTACTGTTCATCATCTGCAACTCGGCTTTTTCCCAGTGTACAGCACCCGCAGACCAGCTCCACGTCCCTTCGACCAACATCTGAACCAAACGGTGTTTTTCTTGCCAACTCCCAGGGCCGCAAAGAAGATGCTTGTGCTCATGGAAAGCACCCCAGACACGTCCATGTAGTTCGCGAGCTTGTTGAGCAGCTGGAGCATCGAAGTCATAGTCCAACCCCAAGATTCGCACAGATCTACCAGCTTCTTGTATCGGGATGTTTGTCTCGCCTATCCGAACAACCCTGCGCCCCTTGTAGTACTTACTTGCAATGATACATGTCTTGTTCACCGCCAACTTCAGACCAAGTTTAGCAAGCTCAGCGGAGATCTTATCAATGTTCTTCTCAAGCACCCCAGCAGTGTCAGACCATACAAAGATATCATCCTGGTACGTCCCAACATCAGCTGGAACATCCCGTAGTTTGCCCACGGGGTCCTTCCACTGTCCTCCGGCCTTGATCTGGTTGATGACATTCGAGATGAGCATGCCGAAGATCTCAGCCGACTCGGGGGACCCCTGGCGGATACCACGGTTGCATACTACTCGAACTTCACCCCCACCAGGAGCAGCTCCCCGCAGAACATTTTCATCAAGTAGCTGCAACAGGAAGCGCTTCTCATAGGAGAACTGGGCATCTGGAAGGCGACCAGTGATAAAGTCGGCGACAGAAGATCGGTTGACATAGTCAAAAGCGCCTTCAATGTCTAACTTGACAAGGACAACCCCAAGTCTCCATTCCCTTGACATATCACGAAGTCGGCTAATCGCCCCATGCAGGTCTGCTGTCCCACGGTTCTGGCCGCATGAAGACCAAGGTGAATCGTCCCTCAACTGACGAAAGGTTCTGTTCATGACGACCTTGGACAACAGCTTCATACCACTGCAAGACATCGCAATAGGCCGAAGATCTTTGGCAGATTGAGGAGTGAAAGTTTTCGGCAGGAGAGCAAGCAGAGATTCGCCCCAATCGTCAGGTAGCACCCCTGAGCGAAGTGTCTCATCAAGTAGACCACACAAACTATCAGGATACTCAGTAAAGATGGCGCGGAGGAGGTCAACACTAACACCATCCGGTCCAACTGAAGATCGAGCTCGCATCTTGTTCAAAGCAGTCCCAACTTCTTCTGGAGTGATCTGGTTGTAGTCATTGCAGTAGATCTCCCCAACACGGGTGGCAAGTGCCTTCTGCCAAGCAACTGCAGGATCGGATACTTTGCTTGCAAGGTGTACTCCAACATGTTCAGCAACTTGTTGGGCACTGTTTTCACGAAGAAGACCACCCCACCAACAACGACGTTTACTTGCAGCCCGCATGTCTCGGTACACGAACCAGTCACCAGCCAGCACCTTGCCAGCCCGTTGTAGCTTCCATGCTCTTCTAGCACGCTTGCGAAGCCGATGAACTTGTTGCCAAAGAACTTTACTGGCACGTCCCCGACTGGCTTTGGCACTACTAATAGCCTCTTTGATCTCATCGTTATCTGTATATTTGTGCTTCACACGCGGGGCTGTGCATGTTTTCGCCATCTTGCGAAAGTCATCCCAGTGTGCAGGCGGATGAAGAGGAGCATCAGCAACGACCCATCTTGGTCGAGAATCGACCCAACGCCCCCAGGAGGTAGCAGGTACATCGAGTTCACACTCAAGACGAGCATGGTCCGTGTTGATGTGATAGCGCACATCAGAGTTTACCCTTGTGGGACTGCATCGTAGTTGCCGAACAAGGACAGTGTCAATGTGTCGTCCCTCACGGCTCTCATCCATAGGGAAGTGCGTCGGAACCCACCTATCCAGCAGAACAGGGGCAACCAGGCGAAGGTGGTTTTCTGCAGCAGCCTCCAAAAACTTGTCGATCTTCGCCCCAGCACGGACGGGAACCTCATCGGAGACGCCATCCACATCGCATGTCCAATCCACAACTTCATTGACATCGACCCCGATGAAGCAGGGTATATCAGGGTGCCATCGAAGCAATTTAACCCGAAAGTCTTGAACAGCAGCATGGTACACACGAGTGGGCACCCCAGTAGGTAGGTGAAGCGACCCGAGAAGAAGACGACGGTTGTTGCGAAATCGAATGACCCAAGCAGCACCCTTCTCAAAAGCAACCTTGTCCGTGCAGCAGTCGAAAACATCTTGCGCGATGGCGACACCAACGCCCCTCCACTGAGAGGCACTTCGATGCGACAACCAAGTGAAACCATCAGTCACATCCTCATTCCACCCCACTTCAGCTCGACGTAATTCTTGTGCAACCAAGACATCAAGGGAACCACAGACAGCATCCACTTTAGCGAGAGACTGTCCACCTATGTTCCATGAAGCCACTCGTCGACGAATCCTTTGAGGATTTCCAGGACCAGATCGACCCATATTGTGTCGTTCTAGACAAGAGTGCTTCGTTTGCGTGCCGCCATCACAATCACCTTCGGATTGATGACGTGGCGCGCCAAGGCTGTCTTGGGTGAAACTGGCCTTCCGGACCAATCAAAGAATCAAAGTTCGCGCTCCACTGCCGCAAGGGCAGTGTCAAAGGTCACCCCTGTAGCAGTCGCAACGGACAAAATGTCTACCCATCCCGAGCTCAGAAGCTTGACGCTGTCACCTTTTGGTGCCCTGTGCGAGCTCGACCCAAGCTTCCGTTCCCCGAGCCAGACAGTGCCCGAGGCCCAGTCAATATCATACGACCCGTCCTCCTTCGCCTGCGGGATATGGGACTCCTTGGCAAGCTCAGCGTCGCGTGCCAGACACGTGCAAACACGCCGAAGAAGCGACCCATGTGATGCACGTTTTCTCGCTTCTTTGGTCTTTGTGAACTGACCCCACATAGGTCGCCCCTCACCTTCAGAGACAGCAGTCGAGGGAAGGCGGTGTGGGGTCGCCCTCAGGTTCTGAATGACCTGCCACATTCTGTCACGAACATCCTTGATCACCTCCCCATCCCTTGGTTTGAACTTGAGGACAGCGAAAGCTCTGCGCGGCCCCCAAACCGTGAGTTCAGGTTGGTCAAGCAAGGGTTTCACTGCTTCTCGTCCCAGAAAAGGACGCCCCTCATCCAGAATGACTTGTCTCCGGCTATCAGGAAGCCATCCCCCGACAATCAAAGTCATCTTGTCCTCATCGGAGAGTTCTTCACGACCAAGGTGCACACCGCCCTCACGTACATCTGGACGTCCTCCATCACGACCACCAGCAGCATTAGGTCCATGTTGTCCACCAGCAGCATTAGGTCCATGTTGTGCACGGAAGTTAGCCCATGGATCCAAGGCACCTTCTCCCCAAATCGGTCCAGGATTCTCGCCCTTTTTGCCCGACCCATCATTTGCGGCATGAGGAACTTGTTGTTGTTTTTTGCTGCTGTTGTTGTTGAATACTAGCCACAGTACGAGAAAGCTCAGTGACCTTGACGGCGAGATCAGCTTCGTTGCGTTCGACCTGGGCCAATCTGGCATTGACGATCGCCCCTTCCTTCTTGGTATTCTCGGTCTTCTCCTCGATTGTTCCAATGCGGCCGTCCATTTCCTGCCATGACCGCGTCATTGCCATTAGGTGCTGGTTCAGTAGGTCACGAAACTCACGAGAAGTAACCGGCTGGTCGTTCCCCGGCGAGAAAGGCCGCCCCCTAGGTTTGTGCTGCTCATCATCCCTGCGTCTCCCACGACCATCACCACGATGTTCACCTGGTTCACGGGCACGCTTAGCACGAGATGGACTGCTTGGCCCTGATGCATCCACTGCCATCGTAGTTGGGGCTGCATATTTATCTTCTTCATCGCCCTCATTGCCCCCGTTAGTCTCAACCTTCTCCTCCTTCATGGGGGACAAATCATCATCATCATCCCCGATTTCGGTGGGAGAACCAATGTCGATTGGAGTCGTCATAGAGCAGATCCCTCGGAGTAGCAAGAGAAGGTGGCGTTCAGCACCCCTGAGAAGCTGGAGGATCAATTAACTTTTGGCCGTTCACAAAGTGCAGAATCGTCCAGAGGGCGGTCACCCCGGTCAGGTCGAAGAAGAAGAACGATGAACAACCGGAGAATCGTCAGCAGAAGAAAGAAGATGTACTCCCCAAGGGAAGTCAAAGACGAGGCACACGGTCA